GTGCGCATCTTTTGTACTGCAGTGTACTGTCTCTGGACGGTAATCTAACACAAGACGGATGTCGAAGCCTGACATGGGATCCATCTTACGCATAACAAATCAATGAAATATTCTGGTCATTAAAAACAATTATGTGAATTATCGAAATGATCACAATTTAATGCTTTTAACCTCCTCGGATACTAAACGAACACTGATGCATCTATTCTTGTTTACAAATTTCGCCCAAAGAGAACTGGTTTCAATATGTACGCAGAGTATACGCAACTGCAATTAACTTTCCTTGCAATATAACCTTGCTTCTACTGAAACTGCAATGAAGCATGCATAGACATTTTCAGTCAGCGTATTTTTTTCTCCTTTCATCCACTGATTATTCGAAATTGAAATTAATAGTCTAGGGAACAGACTGTATTAATGTACTCTACTGCATATAATTTGTGAACATTTACATGATTTGTACACTTTGAACTCCCTTTCAGACTGAAAGGGACTGAAAAAATTCATACCGAGAGATTCTTTTAATTCCTCTCTATATATTCTATTCTCTATGCCCAGGACCCAGAAACATGTTTTACTGTCTTTCATTTTTAACGACAATTTTTAAGATTGCCTTGAAGGCCATGTCATTATGCATGAATAGTACATCTAAGAATTCTGAAATTGTTTAATAAGTTTTAAGAGAACACTGAATTGAACTGTAGAAACGTAAAATATGAAAATATCCTTTAACACTCAAAGAAACCGAACAACTTCAGAGGAAGTGTTCGCAAAAAATGAAACCCCAATTCATCTAGGCTTACGGCGAAAAATAAGCGCTTTTGATCGCTACTAATCTTACTTCATATCTGTTGCGTCTATAAGGAGAAAATTGATAAAAACGACTTATGCTGAAGAACGTAGCGTCGACATACAAATTCAGAGAGTTGCAACATTCAACTCTAATCGTAAAATAATCAATTTAATTCCAAACAAATCATTCAGATATTACAAACAATAGTTGTCGATTATTTTCGACGAAATTCATATCTAGTTAATATTTTAATACTTTACTGACGCTGGATTTTCGAACATTTCTGGAAAATATGGATGTCGTCTTCATTATCAAAAATCCTCAAAACAGGAATAAATGTTTTTAAGATCATAAAAATAAAAAATGTTATGAAATATTAACTATATACGAATGCGTCGAAAAATTATCGATGACTATTGGTTGTAATATCTGAATGATTTGATTGATTGATTCATCTATTTACGATCCGAGTTGAATGTTGCTTCTTTCTGAATTAGTATGAAAGCTACGTTCTTCAGCATGAGTCCTTTTAAACAATTTTATCCTTATAGACGCAACAGCTATAGAAGTAAGATTTGAAGCAATCAAAAGCACTTATTTTTCGCCGTAAGCTTATACCCCCTTCAATTTTTCACGAACACTCCCTTTAAATAACGTCGACAAACGCTTTTCGGACAAACGATTTTTTTGTCCTTATTTTTGATCATTCTTTCCACGTTACACTAAAGTTAGATTTAGTTAGATTCAGATGTTTTAGTCATAATTTCTTTTACACGATGTATAATTACTGAGTTTGAGTGCATAGTCGACGTTCAAAATCAAGAATTTGTGTAGGTACGTTTTCAGAATCGTTTTTTTTTTTTTAATTATTAAACGACGAAAAATATAGTAAAAATTATTAAGTAAACAAATAAGATTGGTGAGGAACACAATTCTCAAAATAAATTTGTTAATAATCAATGCTAGAATCAATTATTTCGTTTTCATTATTATATTGCATTTCTTATTTTCTAAGAATTTATTCACAGATATCCGATATCTACAAATTCTTCAAATGTCGTCTTTTCAATAATAATTCCAGAAAATCTGCAGAAAATCTTTGTAAATAATGATAAACTAGAATAATGAGAAAATAGAAACTAATAATTGAACAAGATTACTCATTTTCGATGATAAGATTAATTTTTATTTTCTCAACCTGTTCCTAAACAACTAATTAGTTTACTGTAGAATTTTGTTTACATTTTTTGTCGGTGTTATTTAATAATTTAAAAAAAACAATTCTGAAAACGTATCCACCCAAAAGTACGATTTTGAACGTCGACTTCGCACGTAAACTCAAGATTTACAGATCTTTGAAAAGTTTTATATGTCTCAAATGAATCCTAAAGAATTTGTCCACAACGCTGCATACTCAGTTCAACAGCCTTACATAGCCGTTAGGTCCCTTTAAGACAATTATTATTCCTTGAGATTGTTTCTGTCATGAAGATTAAAAACAAACTGTTTAGTTTATATTTAAAGTGTATAAAAGCGCATAAATTTGATTTCTCTTTTAGCATTTAGTGAATTGCTCAACAATTGAAACATGATCCTTCAAGGTTAAATGGGAATATTTTTAGATTTTAAAAATATACAGGGATTAAATAATGTGGAAGGAAGCCATACAAACATGTTTTGAATAACACGTTTGTTATTATGCATCAAGTTATATAATATAAATGCATCTATTTTTGAATGATCTCTTTATGTAAGTTTTAAACTTATTTATTGATTTTCATTATTATTTTAAAAATAATCACATTGTGATCTTGTCATAATTGATTCTCCAGTTGATCCTCCATTTTATTCTCGTGCATTTTATTCTCCATTTAATTCTCCATTTTATTCTCCATTTTATTCTCCATTTTATTCTTCATTTTATTCTCCCTTTTATTCTCCCTTTTATATTCCTTTTTATTCTCCATTTAATTCTCCATTTTATTCTCCATTTTATTCTCCATTTTATATTCCATTTTATTCTTCATTTTATTCTCCCTTTTATTCTCCATTTTATTCTCCATTTTATTCTCCCTTTTATTCTCCATTTTATTCTTCATTTTATTCTCCCTTTTATTCTCCCTTTTATATTCCATTTTATTCTCCATTTAATTCTCCATTTTATTCTCCATTTTATTCTCCATTTTACATTCCATTTTATTGTTCATTTTATTCTCCCTTTTAATCTCCCTTTTATATTCCATTTTATTCTCTATTTTATTCTCCATTTTATTTTACCCTATCAAACAATTCAGAGGCGTTTACAGGGTCAGCTAAATCTCTGTTTTAAAAGAAAATTTTAAGTCTCCCCCCTTGGACAAATTCCTGCAAACGCCCCTGAAACGATTTCTTTCATCTGAAAGTAATTTGTCCTTACTATGTTGTCCTTTTCTTTACTTGTCCCTATATTGTCCTATACCCCTTATTTAAACTACACTTATTTTGTCCTAAACTTTATTTGTCTTTTATCTTAGGAACATGTGTCCAACACTCATAATTCATCCATCACATCAATTGTCCTACGTTTCATTTGTCCTACTCATAATTTAGCACAAAATTGTTATATTATATCCTACTCATATTATGTCCTTCTCGTAGTTTTCTAATCATAATTTGTCCTAATCATAATTTGCCCTACTTATAATTTGCCCTAATCATATTTTGTCCTAATCATAATTTGTCCTAATCATAATTTGTCCTTATCATAATTTGTCCTTCACTCAACCATTTAGAATTATTCTTGTTATAGCAGCAGTGCTCGACATAGTGATGTGCTCACAGTTAACTAAAATTAACATCCTTGAAAAAAATCTAAAAATACTTTTCTAGAATTTTCAGAATGATTTTGACTTTAACTCGTTCCATTATCAATGAAAAATCCAATTTAAAGATTTTATACTTACAATAAGGCAGATTGAAAAAAGATTTTATGCTTACACAAAGCTTAAAATACCAAACTTGAACTACAAGGTGTCCCAATGAACCGTGTTAGGTACTTTCCCAAGGGTATTTTCCCAAAGGGCGACTTCCCATGTATCAATTTCCCAAGTGGCAACTTCCTAATAGTGCAATTTCCCAAGCGGCAACTTCCCAAAGGGGAGGCGAGGCACTGTGAGCCGCCGCAGGCTGCAATTGGGACACTGCGGATAGGATGGGCTAGAGACCGAGTGGGGCCGAGCTCTGAGGCTAGGACAGAAATATGGGAAGTTGTTGCTTGGGAAATTGCACATTTGGGAAGTTGCCACTTGGAAAAAATACTCTTGGGAAAATGCCTTCAGGAAATCACTTAACATACAATAAACATGGTAAATTTGTATTCTGTTCTAGTTCAGAATTTGTTTGTTTATGTTTTGATTACATACTGTTATACCTAGTAAAATAAGAAATTCTTATTTACAAACACAGAACAGTTAATTCTTAACAAATACAAATTCAAATTCGTCTTATAATTCCATTGTTTATTTGCAGACACCTTGTAGTATGTTAATTCTGACAATTCTGACTTGATTAGGTTTCTTAAAAAAAATCGTACTTCAAAATTAAAATATTAAAATATTATTGAACTCTGAAAGTAAATATGAATATAAAGAATGACGATCAAAAACATTCTTGTCCAGATTGCAATAAATACACCACTGTACAAGATTACATTATCACACTAGTGTAAACTGTACAAGATTATAAATCACACACACTTGTGTACACTGTACGACATTTCATTGTCACAATAGTGCATACACTGTACAAGATTACATAATCACACCAGTGTACACTGTACAAGATTACATAATCACACCAGTTTACACTGTACAAGATTACATAATTACACCAGTTTACACTGTACAAGATTTCATAATCACACCAGTGTACATTGTACAAGATTACATCATCACACTAGTTTACACTGTACAAGATTACATAATCACACCAGTTTACACTGTACAAGATTACATAATCACACCAGTGTACACTGTACAATATTACATAATCACACCAGTGTACACTGTACAAGATTACATAATCACACTAGTTTACACTGTACAAGATTACATAATTACACCAGTTTACACTGTACAAGATTACATAATCACACCAGTGTACACTGTACAAGATTACATAATCACACCAGTTTACACTGTACAAGATTACATAATTACACCAGTGTACACTGTACAAGATTACATAATTACACCAGTGTACACTGTACAAGATTACATAATCACACCAGTGTACACTGTACAAGATTACATAATTACACTAGTGTACCCTATACACTGTACAGTGGACAAGATAACATAATCACACTAGTGTGCACTTAATCTCTTTGTTTACACTGTACATTATTTCATCGTCACACTAGTGTACACAGTACAAGATTACATAATCACACTAATATAAACTGTACAGTGTACAAGATTACATAATCATTTCATTGTCACACTAGTGAACACAGTGTACACTGTACTGTGGAAGCTTGATTTTCTGAAGATTGAGCATAGATTTTAAAATCTTAAAATATTTTGTAAATTTTTGAAAATTTCTTTTTCAGCTAAATTTTTCTGAATTTGAATCTTTAGTTGATATTGATAACTTTTTATGTACATTTAAGGAAGCCTTTACTTATGTAAGTAGAGGACTGAGAAAACTCAACCAAAAAAGTTGTATTAAAATTGTAATTTTTCATCACACAAAACCGTTTTTTTTTATCAAACAATTACAAAAATGTGTTGTCTAAACAAAAGATCAAATTTTCCATAATGTTTTTTTTCGTAAAATAATTAACAAATATTTTTTTAGCGATCGATTTTTTCTAGGTTTTCTCAGGCCCCTGTAGAAGCCTAGAGATTAAGCAACTAAGCTCTTTATACAGCAACTAAAAAAAGCTCCTGCTCATATCTAACGAAATTATTTAATACAAAAGTACATAAATCCTTTTTTGTGTACGCAAGAGAAAATTGTACACACAAAACTAACATATTTGCATAGTTTGACTTTACTATTTAAATATTTGCTAACAGGGCATTTATGTTGCAAGACTAAAATTGTTCTGTGTCAATTGGAAGGACACTGGTGAAACCATAAAATATGGAAAATAACTTGTTTAGTGTTCCTCTCTTCAGTTGTATCATTAACTGTAGAATCTTCACTGTTTTCTTTCTTGTCTTATCTGACAGTTTTGTTAGTTTTCGAGGATTTTTATGACTAGAAACCCTGAAATCCAGATTTGTAATTAATCTGATAACAATTTTTGTTTTGATTTGATCTGTGTCCGGACTCTGGACTAAGGACTTGGTCAGGACTAGGGACTTGTAGGTCAAGACTAGGAAACTATAGGCCAGTAAGTAGTCTGTAAAGTAGTCGTGAAAATTTAATGGAGGATTTCAATAAACAAAATGGAGGTTTTTTAAACCAATTGGAAGTTCTTAAAAACAAAATGGAGGATCTAAAAAACAAAATGAAGGTTCTGTTAAACAAAATGGAGGTTTCCAAAAACGTCACTTGAGTGTCTGTTAGTGTTAACTTGAAAAATATCGACTAGGTTCTAGGTTACTATGTATGCAGCGCCAATGCCCAGACTTCGTATCAGCATGTTAGCTGATTTATTTTATTGTTTTGCGAGGAAATTCCTGAAAAATTAAATCAATTGGAGATCAAAAACTTAAAAATATTTCAAGTTTTACCCTTTTTAGAATTTACAAAGACGGTAGATGTTATTTAAAGTAAAGAATGACATGTCTGATTGACAACGGTACCCTTTAAACCTTTGCCTTATTCAGGATGGAGTTTTTAGCTTCCTCATTGTTACTCATGGAGCTTTAAACTGAAAGGGGATTGTTGTGAATAGAACATGACGAAATTACGTACACAGTTAAAAAATTTGAATTGATTTAATGCCTGAATTTTTTTCCGATCTAGAAGAACGGAAAATTTCGTTGTTGAACACGTTGTCGTTTGAGTTGTTGTCGGTGAGGGGATGAAACACCTTGAGGTGGCCTTGTGGATCCAACATTAAAAACCCGATCACTTAATATACTGGACAGTTTGGAAATATATTCAAAGGGTTGAGAGATACTAGGCTGTCCTCCTTGTTGACGTTTAGCATACACAAGAGGTCGTCTTTGTCGGGGTTTAGGTGGATCGTAGCCAGGAATTGGCGTTTGATATTGAAATGGAATTGCGGGTTTTTCAGTGGTAGTGCTGGGTCTAGGAGTTGTAGATGTTGTAGTTGTGGTTGTGGTGGCAGTTGTTATTTCCGGTTTGTACACTGCCACATTTCCGCCCGCCACAGAATATTGGATTTCACCGGATCTAGCGGGTGTAGATTCAACAAAATCAAAAGGAACCTAGTTATCTAATATCATTTTTAGCTGTACTATTTATTTTCGTAAAAATAAACATTTTGGAATCGNGAGGATAAGCTGAAGGAATATGGAGGATAAGCTGAAGGAATATGGAGGATAAGCTGAAGGAATATGGAGGATAAGCTGAAGGAATATGGAGGATAAGCTGAAGGAATATGGAGGATAAGCTGAAGGAATATGGAGGATAAGCTGAAGGAATATGGAGGATAAGCTGAAGGAATATGGAGGATAAGCTGAAGGAATATGGAGGATAAGCTGAAGGAATATGGAGGATAAGCTGAAGGAATATGGAGGATAAGCTGAAGGAATATGGAGGATAAGCTGAAGGAATATGGAGGATAAGCTGAAGGAATATGGAGGATAAGCTGAAGGAATATGGAGGATAAGCTGAAGGAATATGGAGGATAAGCTGAAGGAATATGGAGGATAAGCTGAAGGAATATGGAGGATAAGCTGAAGGAATATGGAGGATAAGCTGAAGGAATATGGAGGATAAGCTGAAGGAATATGGAGGATAAGCTGAAGGAATATGGAGGATAAGCTGAAGGAATATGGAGGATAAGCTGAAGGAATATGGAGGATAAGCTGAAGGAATATGGAGGATAAGCTGAAGGAATATGGAGGATAAGCTGAAGGAATATGGAGGATAAGCTGAAGGAATATGGAGGATAAGCTGAAGGAATATGGAGGATAAGCTGAAGGAATATGGAGGATAAGCTGAAGGAATATGGAGGATAAGCTGAAGGAATATGGAGGATAAGCTGAAGGAATATGGAGGATAAGCTGAAGGAATATGGAGGATAAGCTGAAGGAATATGGAGGATAAGCTGAAGGAATATGGAGGATAAGCTGAAGGAATATGGAGGATAAGCTGAAGGAATATGGAGGATAAGCTGAAGGATCAGAACATTTCTCGACTTTGTTTTTTCTTCTAAGTAGTTGTAGTTCTAAAAATGTTGAGGGCGCATCTTTATAAATAAACCAGTCAAAAATTAGTGCAATATCTCAGCAAATTTGCATTAACAAAAGAAAAGTAGAAGACGGCAATCATACCATTGCTAATTCTTGTTTTCACTTTTATACATACTGCGACGACTGTATGAAAAATAAGCATAGTTATGTTTGATATCAGTTCCTGTGAGTCTGCAGTTAAAACATTTTCAGGGAACGAGTTGGTTTCTTCCTCAAGACCAGGAACATCGATACTCCGTTCCTTGAGATCAGGAACATCAATACTCCGAGCTAGGGTTGGAACGAGAGAGGACTCGTCAGGAACATTTTCATCCTCAGACTCAGTGAAATACTGAAATATAACAAATATACCAAAAAGTTGAAAAAAGTGCTCAAATTTAAAATTTTATTTAAAATAATTAAAAATAGAATTCGAAATTATTTTTATTTTGATAATTTTCAAAATCATTCCGAATTTTCCTTTTTTCTTTAAATTTTTCGAAATAAATTAAAATTTTATCAAAAACCAGCCTGAAAACAATTAGTTAAAAAACGTTATATTCGCAATAGTTCCTAGAAAATGAATCAAATTATATAAAAAAACGTCTTATTTGAAAATATTTTGGTCATAGTCTCAAAGAAAGGATGTTATGCCTTTTTTAGCCTTAAATAAAACATTTTAAAATTTCGAAAAGTTGACAAATTGCGATATTCAGCTGTTAGAGACACATACTTTGATATTCAGCTGTTAGAGACACATACTTTGATATTCAGCTGTTAGAGACACATACTTTGATATCCAGCTGTTAGAGACACATACTTTGATATTCAGCTGTTAGAGACACATACTTTGATATTCAGCTGTTAGAGACACATACTTTGATGTAAAGCTGTTAGAGACACATACTTTGATATTCAGCTGTTAGAGACACATACTTTGATGTAAAAAGTTTGGAAAAATCAATCATCTATATTTTCATAATTCGTTGATTACTGAATGAGTTGAATACTGAATGTTGATTACTGAATGTTGATTACTGAATGTTGATTACTGAATGTTGATTACTGAATGAGTTGATCACTGAATGTTGATTACTAAATGTTGATTACTGAATGAGTTGATTACTGAATGTTGATTACTGAATGTTGATTACTGAATGAGTTGATTACTGAATGAGTTGATTACTGAATGAGTTGACTACTGAATGTTGATTACTGAATGTTGATTACTGAATGTTGATTACTGAATGTTGATTACTGAATGTTGATTTCTGAATGTTGATTACTGAATGTTGATTACTGAATGTTGATTTCTGAATGTTGATTACTGAATGAGTTTTATTTTTATTCTTAAATTTTTTTGCTTTGAATTGCTTCTTTATAATTTTGGTTGCATGTGTAAAAATAATTTGACATTTTCTAAGTTAAAGGGTGGTTCAACGTATCTTTTTGTTACAGAGTGTGTCATTATTGAAGCACACAGCAGCAGAACCTTAATAGAATCAACTGAACGCTTTTTATAATAAGGCGCGTCAAAATTGTCAATGTTTAGAATTTTCATCGATCATCAGATTAAAACTGATCGACTGATTGCATAATCACAACAGTTTAAACCATTTTAGATCTGTCCAAAAGCGTTCCATAAAATTCAAACCCACCTTTATGTCCTCCATGCAAAAATGGGTTATTTAATGTTCATTCCCGGGTCTACTTGATTATTTTTTTTATCTTTTTTTCCATCTCATAATCTGAGTTCGTTTCCCTTATGTCCATTTGACAGCCCAAATTTTTATTTTGAATAATTTTTTTTGTTTGTTTATTTTCTTGTGATTTTTAACAAAACTTAAAAAATTTTTTTATCGATTTTGATGATTATTATCGTTAGAACTGGCGAGGGTCAACCCAGACCGAAATATATTTTCAATAAATGTGGAACTAACATCTACTTTTTTACTCTACAGAGGTATGGGCCATCACCATCACCGAATTTTAAATCTACTTGATTTCTTTATATATTTATATAGAAAACGAGTAGAAGAATTTAACGATTCTATACAACTTCAATAAACCAAATTCGACCAAAATCCTGCAGCTTTATTCAGACATTTAAGAGCTGTAATCCAACTAAAGCGAAGGTTATTAAAACCAAACCTTTAAATATCGTACGTGCAATTCAGACTTACGATACAATGATTTCAGGAAAATCCGCAAAATTTGAAATTGTTGTTATTTTAAAATGCACTAAAAAGTATGTCACAACAACGACTGAAATAATCAAATAAAAAAATAATAAGGATAGGATACTCCTCTGTAAATGGAGAGTCACTTGATATTACGTGTACAGTCCCTTTAAAGTTTGTATTTCATGTTTATCTAATTCAAGCCAATTGTTATCCCTAAACGGAGTTAAATGTTGTAAACGCGCGAAGTAATACCCAGGATCCACCCTGTTTCTAAGCACGATTTCAAGTACAACTTGCTCATTTTTAATGCAATAAAATTCAAGTGACCCTCTCACACTGCTGAAAATGGACCATCAGGTTTCAAGTCAAAACACCTAAACTTTTTCTTTGGAATATATTTATATGCAAGCTAATGAGTTATATTCTCAATTTCAGAAAATGCCTCCTAGGGAATTTTGAGCAAATCAATTTTTAAGAAATTGTAGAAATCAAGTGCATTCAGAGGTCTTAAATTAAAAAAATTTAATTTCAAGACTTTAATCTGCTTCTTCTGGGCTTTTGACTATATTTTTTCAACAGTATATGACATGGTCTCCACATTTTTTTTATTTTTCTTTAACAGTCATGAAACTTATTGAGGAAAAAATCAAACCCTTAACTCAACTGCCTGGCTGTCAAAATGCGGCCCGAAAAAGTTTTTTTTATGTAATTTTTACTGATTTTACTTGAAAAAGTCTTTTTTTAGGCAGTAATTGGGCAATTATACAGTTCATTTTGATTTTTTTGCTGAAACATGTCTTATGACTATTAAGGAACATTCACAAAATTTGGGGACCCTGTCTTCAACGGTTCTAAAAATATCGCAAAAAAACACAGAATAATCTTGATTAATCTTTGAACCTACAGTTACGATTGAGTTTAGACTTGATTTCTATAATTTCTTTAAAATGGATTTAATTAAAATTCCCTAGGTGGCATTTTCTGAAAACTTAGATTATAACTCAGAAGCCTGCATATTAATATATTCCGAAAAAAAGTTTAGGTGTTTGACTTGAAACCTGATGGTTCATTTTCAGAAGTGTGCTCTATTTTATGAGTTTCAACATGCTTGATTCAAACGGTCGTACCTTCAAACGTTTTTAGATTAAATGTCTGAGTTAATTGCAAATCAGATACGTAACTTTTAAAACTAGTTTATATCATTTCTGCTCTAAGCAAAACATGGAGTTCATGTCTGTTTAATTTTTATCAATAAAACTTAACGGTTTAACCGGCAAAAGAATATGATTTTAATATATTTTTTCCAACAGATAAGTCAAGAAAATTTAAGTTTAGATTTGTCAAATATTAGTGAATACAGCTGCATGATTACACTTTAAAAGTTAAAAAATACAACAAGTTTCAAAAGTTTCAGTTTGCGAATATAAAGCCAATTTTATCTCCGTTAAAAGTTCCCCCCCCCCTCCCTCCCCGTTTTGCTTTTCTGCCCGATAATTTAGGGTTTACTATCAAATACAAAAGCCAGATGAATCGTTTATTCAAAGCAAAATGATTAAAAACAAAATGTATAATATAATAAAATCTTTAGAAAATAAAATATAATTGAACAAGAGAGCTTGGAGCTATATATCGACATGAATGAATCATGATTTGACCAAAAAAAAACGTTATTCAAAGAAATATTAAAAATCAAGGTTAAATATTCAAGTTACAATATTCTATTCAAAGTACATCGGCCTTGTGTAATGTATAAATACATATATTAAATGATATCAACTTCATCTACCTCAAGGGCATATATTATCCTTATATTTTGCAACCTTACCATGCAGATTTAACAGTTCTTTTCTCAGCAAGCATTGGAGTTTAATCACAAGTACAGGGAGTCTATTGTTTATTGGGACACCCTGTAGTTTGATCCCAACTACAGGGAGTCTATTGTTTATTGGGACACCCTGTAGTTTGATCCCAACTACAGGAAGTCTATTGTTTATTGGGACACCCTGTAGTTTGATCACAACTACAGGGAGTCTATTGTTTATTGGGACACTCTGTAGTTTGATCACAACTACAGGGAGTCTATTGTTTATTGGGACACCCTGTAGTTTGATCACAACTACTGGGAGTCTAATGTTTATTGGGACACCTTGTAGTTGATCACAACTAAAGGGAGTCTGTTGTTTATTGGGACACCCTGTAGTTTGATCACAACTACAGGGAGTCTAATGTTTACTGTCTAACTTCCATGCTTAATCATTTAGTAAACCATTAAAATACTCAATTGAATGTATAAACCAAAAGTCAAGCTTCATATCGTCATATTTTAAGAGTTTTGGGTCGTCTTTACGGTCTCATCCTTTGTGGTTAACCCTGTCTATCTCGCAAGATGATGGCGAGATTATGGTCTACGATATTAAGTTGTAAACATATCAGGGATAAAATTTGAGTTAGAGGTGAGTAATCAGTTCCTTTCTAGATATGCAATCTTGACATTGACTGATTTGAACATGAAAAATGCAATGTTCAATGTTCACACCCACTTTCCTGTGTCACGACCCAGCGGCGAACATGTTGCAAAAAACACATTAATTGAGGAGGAAGATGAGGTTGAACTCACGCAAAAAGAAATTAAGAACGTGCGTTGTCTCGTAGCTCAGCATACAATAGAGAGACAGTATAATTGATGATTTACCCTTATAGATGTTCAGATGTATTAATGATTAGATATATATAGATATATATAGATGTTCAGATGTATTAATGATTAGATATATATAGATATATATAGATGTTCAGATGTATTAATGATTAGATATATATAGATATATATAGATGTTCAGATGTATTAATGATTAGATATGACTTAATGTTTAAATTATGTTTTTCTCATAGTGAAACCCTATACTGAGGAATACGAAGACGACATTTTAGCAAAATTGTGTGTATTTGATTTTAATGTTTTACAATGTTATAGCTCGCAAATCAACCTAAAAATATTAAGTACACTGCAATTGCTGCGTTCATTAGACTTTTTATTAATGTGTGCACTCTACATTTAAAGGAACCTTAGATTAGTAAAATTGTTTTACATTTAAAAGAGTCCAAAATGTAAAGAAAGTAAAAGTTTAAAATGAAGCACTTTAGTTATCTCAAAATGAAATAAAATAGA